CACCCCGGGACCTGGACCCAGCACACGATGGAAAGCTCGGATGTGGATCCAGACTGAGAGCCAAGACCTGGCACCGGCTGTGGGCATGGGCACGGACCTGGACCAAGCCCCAGACCTGGATCCAGCCTGCTCCAGCTCAGCACAGCCCTGGAGCTGACACTGAACCAGGACCCAGCACCCATCCCGGCACCAGACAGAGAATCCAGCTCTGGTCACGGCTCCCGCTTGCCCCACACACACCCTAGCACTCCACAGCAGGTGGAGGCACACACTGGTTTTGGCACCCACCTCACATCTGTGCCCTGGTGCTGTGCACATCTGGACAGCCACCCACGCTTGAACCCACCTCTTGTGAATGTGGGGATGCACACCTGCATCTGCACCTGGTGGCTGTGTGCAGGCAACCTCCCACATCTGCACCCACATCTGCACCCACCTACCCTGCACATCTGGGCTCCCATTCACCCAGCACCCACCTGTGTGCCAGCACCCACCCTGCTGCGCACACCCTGCAACCCCCTGACACCGTGCTCTGCATCCCAAAGTCCCCGTGCTGAACCTCAAATCTCCCTCATTAACCACAGAAAGGCCTGAGGTGCCTTCCCTATCCCACCCCCTTCCCAAAACCACACCCCAGCTCGATCTGGGGGTGTAGCAGTGGGGACAGAGACAATCTGAGCAGGTTTCCATGGCAAAACAGTGGAACATTTGGTGTTATTTATTTAAGTCAATCCCTAAAATCCCTCCAAAGCTCCTCAGGGAGCTCCAAGGACGTGAGGGGAGCAGACAGGGCCCTTCAGTGGCTTTGCTTAGGAAAATCAAGATATAAACAGTGTTTTGATTTAAAAGATCTCCCTTCAAGCAAAACATGGATCCTTTTGCTTCCAGGGTCTTGTTCAGCTCCTCCAGCATCATTGGATGTGGGGATCCCTCACAGATCTGTCTTGTGTCCAGTGAGGATGGATTCACAGGAGGGAGAAAACACTGCTCCAGCATATCTGAGAGAGCTGAGCCGTCTCAAACCTGGTGTTGAGAGCACAAAGCATTTTCCTCCAGCCAAATCCAGCTGGGGAAGCAGAGTCCCTGGGTTCTCATTAAGCACTCAGTCCTATTAGGCAAGTCCTGATTAGCTGGGCTTACCCTCTGCTCCCCCCCTCTGTGGTATTGTTTAGCCTTGGAGCCATGGGCACAGAGCTGCAGCTTGGGCTCTGCCTTTTACAGGAACACTGAAGGCACCAGAAAGGGATTTGCAGCAAACCAAATTTAATTAAAGGGGGGAAAAAATAACCAAAGTTTCAGCTTGGGAAAAAAAACAGACAAATAACAACAGCCCAGGGCAAATAATTCTATTTTCTGTAAGGTCCAAGTATTGTGGTTCAATGTTGTTGCAAGTGAAAAGATGGTTTTTCTGGGGAAATCTTTTTTGATGAGGGGGGTGGGGAGTGGGGTGGTGTTACATCATTTTGGAGCTGGAGGGAATGTTTTTCACAAAACCAGGCACCCATGGACAATGCTCAGAAATTGGGCTGCTGGAAGGTGAGATCCCAGCAGGGCTGGGGTAAGGCTGCTGCCCCACACTGTTGGTACAACTCCATCCTGCTTTATTTTATTTCACCTTGAAAGAGGGACAAGAGTGACAAGCCAGCAGTCAGGACAGCCACGTTCCCAAGCCCAGGCACTTGCCTGGGTATTGTTTAATTTCTTAGGGACGTAGCCTCTGTTCCTGCCTGATTGTTCCTTTTTCCAGATCACCAGAGTGGCACAGCCAGTTCTCCTGGGGAGCCCTTGGGTCACTCCCTGCATTGTCAAAATTCATGCTTGGTTCCTGCTCCCATGTTGCCCTTGAGAGCTCCTCTCACCTGTGGCATTGAGCTCTCCTGGGCTGGGGCATGACCCTCCACCTTTCTAAAGTGATGGAGAGGGTTTCCTTAAGAAACAAAATGGAAAAGAAAAGGTTCACAGGAGGCAAATGAGCAGAAATTTTATATTCCAGAGCAGGCAAAAGCACTGGACAATCTGTCCAAGTGCAGTGGGATGGAGATAACCCCTTGCTCCAGCCCTTCTGGAGGGAGGTTGAAGCCCAGACTTTGGTGATGAGCACCTCTAAAAGCTGGGCAGATCCTGGTCTAGCTCAGGATCATTCCTCATCCAAAAAAAGCTTCATGGGAGATGCTGCAGAAGGAGCAGAGGATCTGCCCAGGTCTCCTCAAGCATTTGGGGCATTTGGAAGATAACATCAGCAGGTTGCCTGGAGCAGTTGGTCCATTGCCCCTCTGCCAGCTTTTCCATCCTGGGTTTGGACTGGCCCAGGCCTCCATGTTGCTGCACACAGACTAGTGACAGGGGATCTGTGGGATTTGTGCATCCTGAGGGTTGATCTGAGGACAAACCAGAGTGTGGCGTGACCAGGTCACCCCCCTGGGCACAGCTCCAAGGATACAGCACCAAAATCAGGACTCAGCACCATGGTGGTGACAGCTGGAGCCACTTCCACCAAACCCCCAGGGTCCCCTTGTGCATCCAGTGTGATCTGGGGCATCTCCCTCACACACATCCCTTTGGACATGAAGGCACCATGGGATATTTACAGGTCAGTGACTCTTCTCCTGAAGAGGGCAAGACCCTGACAGTGATTTTCAAACATTCCCCATGGCCCAGTGATGCCTGGGAAGGAAAAGGAGATGCCCACAGCCATGGTCTCATTCCTCCAGGAACTCACTGTGCACTCCACCACCAGTATCCCAGAGCTCCCAATTTCATTCCCCCTGGCTCCCAGTGCAATGCCACAGCAGCATCAGTCCTGCACCTCCCTCTCCTCTCCAGTCATCATCCCTGGAGGGACTCAAAAGTCATGTGGATGTGGCACGTGGGGACATGGGTTAGTGGTGGCCTTGGCAGCACTGGGGAATGGTTGGACTGGATGAGCTTAGAGCTTTTCCAGCCTGAATGATTCCTTAACACAGTCACTGGAGGGTATCAGGAGCTTGAGCAGCATCTCCCTCTGGTGGCAAAGGGACAAGAAGTTTGGGAGAGAAACTCCTCCCCTGTGTGATTTTCCCAGTCTGGCAGCATTGGGAAAAATCTGGAAGTGCACCAGATCATTGGGCCACAGAAGATGGGAAGGGTGAGGAATCTGAAGCTGTGATTTGCTGCTGGAGTCCTCCTACTTCAAACAGGGCTTTAGAATTCACTAAAGAATATGTTTAGATGGGATATAGGGATAAGATCCTTCCCTGTGAGGGGGGGGAGGCCTTGGCACAGGGTGCCCAGACAAGCTGTGGTTGTCCCATCTCTGGAGATGTCCCAGGCCAGGCTGGATGGGGCTTGGAGCATCCTGGAATGGTGGAAGGTGTCCCTGCCCATGGCAGGGGATTAGAATGAGATGATTAAGGTCTCTTCCAACCCAACCCATTCTGGGATTCTCCGACTGAATACAAGTTATTTCTACAGGAAGAGACCTGTGGCTCAGTGCTGGGACTGTACCAGCACACAGGACTTGGACCCTGGCTGCAAAAGGGCTCTCACACAGGCTGGAAGCCTTTAAGGACAGACCATCCATATTATCCTACCTGATTTCACACTGCTCCCAAGGAGAAAGTGGAGCATGGCTCACCAGTGACCAACTCTCATCATCAGGGAGCAAAGCTGTGGGAACAGACCCCTCACACAAACACCCTCATCACTCCCCAGTCCTTATGCACCCTCTGTCCCCAGATTCCCCCTTCTCTTCTGCCGTTCCTTGATCTATCCAGCATTTCCACAACCTCCTCATCTGAGGTCAGAGGTATCAGCTCATGGTGCTCCCCTGCACTGTGGATGTGCTCTGAGAAATCAAAAGTCCATTTATTCCTGACTCCTATGCACAAAAGTATTCTTTACTGTCTCAAAATTGTCTGTTTCCTTTCTGACTGGCCTGTGGGACAGTTTCATGCTGGCTGAATCTTTTTCTAATACCCAACCTTAACCTTCCCTGACACATTTTCATGCCATTCCCCCAGATCCTGTTGCCCATGTCCCTTCTCCACCCTCCCACTGGAAATCCCAACAGGCAACTCATCCTGGGGCTGCAAGAGCCAAGACTGGGAAGAGAGACCCCTCCACATTTATTTTCATCCCCAACACAAGACACAGACACAGCAAAGGCTGGTTTGGGGTATTTTCAAGCATAATTATATATTATCAAAAGTAGAAAACCAAGCTAGATAAAAATTCCTGCAATGGCCTGGCAGCACTGCTGCCTTCTCTGTGATCCACACAATGAGAAGGGCTCTGGAAAAGCCACTGGAACTGCTCCTGCCTGCACAGGCACAGCACAGGGGGCTGGGGTCCAGATGGAGACAGGGAGCCTTCATCCCTTGGAATGTGGCTTCACTCCATACTCAGCACCAACTGGGTTTTCTGTGCCCCAAGGGAACACCTGGCTGGGTCAGCCCTGAGCAGTGAATGCATCATGGAAGCTTTTTTTAAATAATTCATCACATGCCTATGCCCTCCCTGCTGCCTTTCCTGCCCTGTGGCAGTAGCAGAGTCCTGCCCACAGCAGGACAACATCTGGAGAGCACAGCCAGATGTGCTCCAGATGGCACTCAAGAGCCTGGTGGTGAATCCAGCTGATCACACCTCAAATTAACATGTTAAGCCATGTCCTGGGCACAAACCTGTGCCCTGGGCACAAATCCATGCCCAGTCAGCCTGGTGGGAAGCACTGGCTATTTCTGAGACCACGGTATTGATGATTTTAGTTCCTGACACAAATAAACCCTGCCTGTAATGTGGGTTTTATGGTGGGGGTAGAACTGGTTTGAGATTTGGCCTAAATTTAGATGAAAGCATCCAGTCAAATGTGGATTATAACCTTGTAATCTGGTCTAGTGGAAGGTGTCCCTGCATGTGGCAGGGGTTTCAACTGGATGAGCTTTAAGGTCCCTTCCAACCCAAATAATTCTGGGGTCCTGTGATCTTCAGCTGGAAGGAGGCTGGAGAGAAAAGACCACTTGAGGAGGCAAGACAGTGGGCAAGCAGCAGGACATGGCTTTTGATTGTAATTCCAGGTTCTGGGCTGCAGCAGGAAGAGAATGTGCAATCCTTTATGACCCCCAAAAATGGAGTTGGCAAAGGCCTCAAGATAAACCTGTTGGGGAAAAAACAATCAAGCAATGCTGAGCCTTTCTTGAGGCCTTACTCTGCCCAAAAAGGACATCCAAGAGTAAAACCCATCATTTTTCTGATTTAGGCACTTATTTGTCCTGAGAAAACTGCTTTGGCCAGCACTGCAGCCCCTGGAGACAGCAACCACATCTCCACACTGGGTCAGGCCAGCAGCTTGTGCAGGCACTGGTTTAAGGACACACCTCATATCATTGTCACAAATACACCAAAGACAGGAGGCTCCAGCCTCCTGGTAGGTCTGTGACATAAATTACTCAATAAATAACCAGCTCTGGACTTTTAGGGCTTTTTAAGGCTTTTGAAGTTCTTCAAGACTGCCTCTAGAAGATGTACTGAGAGGAAAGGTGATGTCCCAGTGATGGAGGAGCACTCTGCCCCATGGCAGGGGCACTTGGGGGACAGTCTTTGTCCCACCACCTCCTGCCATGCCCTGTTGATGAGACAGTCACCCCAAGGCCGGCCCAAGGTGACATTTACAGGATCACTCTGGTCACCCAGACTGGTCTGTCCCCTCTCCCAGCTCCCCCAGTCCTCGCTGGGAGCATTTAGGGCCGGCCTTGGGGGTGGAGGTGAAGCACGGTGACCTCATCTTGCTCCTCACCACAGTCCCCTGCGGGCCACAAGGGTGGGTGTCCCAAAGGTGCTGGCACCCCATAAGGGCACCCTCTGTCCCCGTGGGCTCTGAGCCCTCTTTGGGGAGACCTGCCACCCCACAGCTGCCTGTGTTGCCGAAGGAAGAGCTTCTCTGCAGACACTTGTGGGCACAAGCGCCCAGGATTGGGCTGATGCTGGGCATCCCAAGGGATGAATCCCCTCCTCTTCCTCCTCCTCCTTCTCCCAGGCAGCCTGGGGGAAGCTGAGCTTTGCTGTCCCGTTGCACCAGGGCCATGCTTGTGGCTGTCCCTGTCCCAGGTGAGATGATGCCTCCTGCACTTGCACTGAAATACACAGAGGAGCTCTCGGTGGAATCCGGGGAGAAGCCACTGGGGTGGGATGTGGATGGGGGAAAATCAGGCTCCTGCCCTGCTCCATCCTCCTGTGCCATTCCCAGAGCACCAGCACTGGCTTTGATGCCTCCTCCATTCCCCACTGCCAGTCCAGAGGGAGGGATGTCCCTCATGGGGAGGGAAAGGTTTGCCCCAGGCTCAGCTCCAGGGGCTTTCCCCATCATCCATCCTCCAGGAAAAGCTTCTCCCACGCCGCCATCCCCGAAAGCTGCGTTGATCACGGACACATCTCCTGTCTTCAAGGCCAGCTTCACCAGCAGCCAGTGGTGATGGTCTGTCCAGCTGTCCTCCAAACCCCCCTTGGACTGCAGCAGTGATGAGCTGGTCTCCTTTTGGGGCTCTGTCTTGGTCCCTTCCACTGGTAAGGATTCCTCATCTGCCAAAGTCCCTGAACTCTGCTCAGCTTGGGAGCTTTCTCCAGACCCCTCCTCATCCCCAGATGCTGCAGGACTGCACATTGTCTCCAGGAATCCCTGCCAGATCTCTGTGGACTTGGGGTGGAGCAGGCTGTAGTAAATCACCAGAGCTGTGACACCTGGAAAGGAGCAGAAAAGTGTCACTGAGGAGTCCCAGCAGCATTTTGGTCAGCTGTGGAGAAGAGGACAGACCTTGAGGCACCTCCAGATCAACAAGAACTTTGCAAAGATGCTGCTGAGAATCAGTGTATGAGCAGCACATCTTTCCAGCATTTATGGGGATGCAAGAATCCCACTTGAGCAGATTTGGGCAAATCAAGTGCACACTCAACCCCAAATTTAATGTGGATTAATTTGCAGACTGAAAGTTGCCAGCAGGGAGATGTGTGATGAAAGAAATCTTCCATGTCACAGCACCCCCATCCTCTGGCCTTTAAACCAGCAAGTTTTTAAGACAGCTTCTTACTTATGCCCTAAACTCATCCAAGACCACAGGAATTGCTCCTTTTCCATCCCATTTTTTTTAACACAGTTAATCTGATGGTCTGGAGAGTTGCACAGCTTCCCTCTGCCCCCATCCCTCTGGGAAAATATGACTCTGCTTGGCACAAAAAAGCTCCAAAGACTGGATCCCCTCTGCTCTGGAGCCAGGCTGGGAGAGCTGGGGGTGCTCACCTGGAGAAGAGAAGGATCCAGGGAGAGCTCAGAGCCCCTTCAGGGCCTAAAGGAGGTCCTAAAGGAGAGCTGGAGAGCGACTGGGGACAGAAGTCTGGATGTTCAGTTCCTGAAACTACTCTCAAAATGTGCAATCCAGGCTCTAAAATCAATGTTCTTACCTATTAAGGACCCTGACATGACAGCCCCAGTCACAGTCAGGCTGTTCCTCAGCTCTACCTGCAGGAACCGGGTGCCCAACAGCAGCAGGAGCGTGTTCTCCATCAGCATTATCTGCAAGGCAGAGGGAAGAGACTCATCACTTATATCCTTCTGATGGCTTTAGATGTGCCTCTCACAACAGAAAACACCCATTTTCTAGATTTTCATGGATTCTTAGAATCACAAAGTGGTTTGGGTCAGAAGGGACCTTAAAGGTCATCTTATTGCACCCCCAGCCATGAGCAGGGACACCTTCCACCACTCCAGGCTGCTCCCAGCCCTATCCAACCTGGCCTTGAGCACTTCTCCTGTTATATTTTGCACCTAATTTATCACTTTATACATAAAAGCTGTCAAACTGAACTTTCTGCAAGGTCTTCACCTACTTTTTACCACTGCCAGGAATCAAAACCAGGGCAGAAGGCACATCCACCTTGGTGGCCACGTGGCTTTGTCAGGACACAGCAAAACTCTGGATTTTGAGCAAGTGGTGATGTGAGAGATGAAAATGGAGAGTCTGAAGCTGTTGCTCATCCCCATCAGCTTCATCCATGCAGAATACAAAAAAATTCCAGGTACTCACTGCATAAAACACGGCCACCCTGGTCCTGGAGGGGCCGGGGCGGACGTTGATGTAGCAGAAGATGTAGACAGCTCCCAGCAGGCAGTTGAAGAGCCTCCAGCGGCACGGCTGGGTCACAATATCTGTCTGCTGGGCCCCCAGCCAGAAGGACATGAGCAGCCAGTGCACCCCTGCAGGGAGAAAGGACTGGATTTGCAAAGCCATCCCTGGGAGAGGCTGCAAACCTGAGCATGGCAGGGCTGACATTGTGTCAGAACCAAGGACATTCCTCTGGCTGCCCTGGATGGCTCAAGACCCTAGCAGGGGGCTCAGAGACCTTGGCATGGAGTAAAAAACACCTGTGCCTTCAATTTTAACCCATAGAAACAATTACCAACTTTGTGTGAGGATTTACAAGCCACAAGGGTTTGAGTAGAATGTTAGTGAATTTATCACAGGGTGAAAAAGGAGAATTTTGGGATTTTTAGAATGAGGGTTCAAGAGGCAAGATGGAGGAATCTGGTTGTCCTGTCCTTCTTCTCCTTCTTGTCCTCCATCTTTTGCTGTGATGGTAGCACTTTTGGATTTGTTTATAGAAATAGACTTTCTAACATAGGTGATAGGTATTGGAAAATTATTGTAAATAAAGTACATGTAGTTTTTAGTATAAAAAGCTAACACTGCCCCAAAGATGGTCAGTGTGCCTCAACCTGACCTGCCAGACAGACCTCAGCAGGTCTGAAAAAGAATGTAATAAATAAGAGAAAATAAACAACCCTAAAAACCAGAGCTGAGGAATATCGACTTCTTCTTTGGTTGCGGGGATGGGAAAAAAGACTCTTTAATACCTCAGGAGCCATTTCAGCAACATAAAACCCAAGAACATTGGGGTGGGATGTGGGGAACAGGATCTCAGGCCTTACCTGCCACAGCAAAAACCCAGAAGGAATAGAGCCTGGCAAAGAGCACCAGGGCCAGCACCCGGGTACCCAGCATCCCTGTCCTCCAGAGCAGCAGGCACAGGATGACAGCAGCTGGTGGGCTCAGGTGTCCAGGCTTCATCAGGAAGGTGAAGTGGCTGTAGGAGACCAAAGCCCAGGCCAGGGACAGCAGAGACAGCCCTGCACTGACACCTGTGTGGGGACAGGGGCAGTCAGGGCTCTGATGGAGGCCCAAATGCACAGCAGGGACAATTCTCTGTGCTAAGGAGGTGTTGGCAGCACAGCACCCCCATAAAAGCCAGACACCCCTTGATCCTGCCAAGTGAATCATGGAATCAAGGAATGACTGAAGGGACCTTAAAGGCCATCTAGTCCAGTCCCTTGCAATGAGCAGGGACCCCTTCCACCAGACCAGGTTGCTCAGAGCCCTGTCCTATGGTTGTGACAGTTTGGTCAGAGAGAGAAAGCCAGATAAACTTTCCCAGGAATTGTTCTGGGGACTTCTGAGAAGGCTGAGAGAAAAAACTAAAACAATCTTGCAGCTGGTGTTTTAAACAGTTGTTTTCTCATAAGATGTTTACCAAAGGGTGTCTTCTTAATTAGCCAATGGTGACAGGGTGTTGATTAAATGACCAGTCAGGTCCACCTGTATCAGAACAGGGTATAAAAAGGAATGGGTTTGCAATAAACTTGGGATTAGCCTGAGTTAGAGTTTATATGTGAGTTTATGTTAAAGTAGAGAGTTAGAGTGTATGTGTCACTTCATTTCACTCCCGACTCAACAGTCAACTGACTTGTATGTTACCAGGGATGAAACTGGAGCATTTCAACTAAACCCTGCTAAATCTGGTCTCTGCATGCTTGGCATCTTCCCTGTGGATACCCTCTGAGTATCCAGAGCACTCTCTGAGTATCTCCCTGTGGATACCCTCAGGCTGACTCCATGGACAGAGCTCTGCCCCAGGGCAGCTCCAGCCCAGTCACTGCCATCAGACCAGAGATGGACAATGAGCAAACGTGACCTTGCACATGCTGTGACTCCACATTTCAACCTCCCTCTTTGCACACCTGAAAATTCACCTTTGGGGCAAAGCAGCCACCTTTGCATTCAGCCACAGCAGATCTTTCAGCCAGGCTTTTCTTTTTTCCCTGCTGGTTCTCATCGAGGTTACCCAGTCCCTCTGCAGCACATCCCTCACCCCTGAACCATCCGAGAACTCACCAGGGATGAAGCCTGCTGGGTCCACGGCCACCACGACATAGGCCTGGAGCAGGAGGTGAGGCAGGGTCTGCAGCAGGGCCTCCAGGAGCCGCAGCACACAAACATCCCCGAGCTGAGCCAGCAGCTCCCCGGCACCGCCGCCCGCCTTGGCCGCCGCCCGCAGAACATCCCAGTACCTGCAAGAGCCACCGTGAAGGGATGCCCACGCTGCTTGGAGGAAATTTGGGGCTGCAGCCAGGTTGTGGGGGGTGGGTGGATGGTGGGGAGTGTCTCACCGCTTCCAGAGGCCCAGCTGCAGGAGGTGGAGCGCCAGGAGGCAGCAGCCGGGTGCGTGTCCGTCTGCCCGGAACCAGAGGATGCTGAGGAGCTGAGCGGCGTAGCCGGGCACCAGGCAGGCCATGGTGAGCCCGAACCAGCCCAGCTGGCCCCGGACAAGGTAGTGGATGATGGCACAGAGCCCTGGAGAAGGGCAGAGAGGCGGTGATGAGGGATGACACAGCCACACCCCCCCAGCAACTGAGCGGTGCCATTCATAGGCAGAGAATCCCAGATTGGTTTGGGTGGTAAGGGACCTTAAAGCTCCTCTCATTCCACCCCTGCCATGGGCAGGGACACCCTCCACTATCCCAGGGTGCTCCAAGCCCCATCCAGCCTGGCCTTGGACACTTCCAGGGATCCAGGGGCAGCCACAGCTTCTCTGGGCACCCTGTGCCAGGGCCTCCCCACCCTCACAGGGAAGAATTGCCTCCTAATATCCAATGTAAAGCTGCTCTGTGTCAGTTTAAAGCCATTCCCGCCAGAACTCCATCTCCCAGCCCTTCTTCTGGGCTTATCTCCAGCTGCCGGCTCCCGGTGGCGTTGTCAGCTGAGGCACAGCCACCGTCACCGAGGGGCCCGGCCCCCAGCAAGGCTCTGATAAAAAGCTTGGGCTCCAAAATAAACAAATAAATAAATAAAAAAAAATGTCCATTTTTCAAATATGAAAAAAAAAAATCCAAGAGGATTTTGGGCCCGCGGGGATGGCGGGAGCAGAACCGCGCATCTCCCCAAGCGCGGGGCGCAGGGATGAACCCCCCCCCTCT